AAAGGGAGCTGTTATCACAGGAATTTTGGTTACACAAGGTTTGCTTGATGGGAAGGGGGATGCTTAGCAGGATGAAGAATTTACATAGGAAACAGCAACTGAACACATTGTAGGGGGGGAAGGGAATATTTACTCTAGCAGCCAGTTTTAACATAGTGAACACAGAATAAATAGACATTAGTAAATAACCATTTTATTTTAATTCATCTGTCCATAACAGGATGAGAAGCTAATTGAGTGAGATCTAACAGGAAATGCTAGCAGAATGCTTGGTTGTATAAGTAGAGGCATTAGCAGTAGAAAGAGAGAAGTGCTCATGCCATTGCACAGAACACTAGTGAGACCTAACTTGGAGTATTGTAAGCAGCACTGGAGACTGTATCTCCAGAAGGATATTGATACTTTGGAAAGAGTTCAGAGAAGGGCTACAGAACTGGTTCATGGATTGCAGGATAAAACATACAAGGAAAGGTTAAAGGATCTTAACATTGGAGGGGGGAGAAGGTAATTGGAGAGGGGGGGAGAAGGAAATTGACGGGGGAGGGGGAGAAGGAAATTGAAGGGGGGAGGGGGAGAGATTGACATCCATCACACACACACACACACACACACAATGCACCCCTTGCACACAGAAAAACACACAATGCATTACACACAGACACACACACACAAGCAATGCATCCCTTACACACAGCAACACACAATGCACCCCTTACACACACTCAATGCATCCGTTACAGACGCACACACTGCATCCTATACATACACAAACACACCTTGCATCCCTTACACATACAAACACAGATTCACACAATGCATTCCTTACACACATCAGGACATCCCCCACACACACACTCCACCCCCAAACTCATTGGTGGAACATGAAGGTGGACCCTGGGACCCAGACCTTGAGCTGTGTAAAGGGCCCTCAAAAAAATGGAGCTGCTTCCCGTTCTCCCAGAACATTGATTTTTGTGACCACAGTTACAAACCGCCTCCACAGAGCCTGTTCTACACCAGACCAGTGGAGCCAGATGGCAGCTAGAGCCCATCATCATCCTCATCTGGTTGTAAGTAGGCAATCTAGTATATTATTCGTGGCACTATTCTCTCATTTACCTCACATTAAAGGGACACTATAGTCCCCAGAACCACTGCAGCTTAATGTAGTGGTTCTGGTGTCTAGCCTGTCCCTGCAGGCCTTTTAATGTAAACATGGCTGCACTGCAGCACTGGCATTAGTTAACATGGCAGATCATATGGGTGGGGCATTGTGATGTCACATGGGGGGGCGGCAAACTTTACTTTTGCATAGGGCAACAAAAATCCTTGCACTGGCCCTGCAGACACTGCATTCCTGTGGGTGGACTCGGTGGGGGGGGGGGCAGCACTTTGGGCGGACTCGGGTGCAGGCACCTGGAGACCCAGACCTTGAGCTGTGTCAAGGGCCCCAAAATTTCTGATGGCAGCCCTGCCTCTACCTATACAACCAAGCATTCTGCTAGCATTTCCTGCTGCTCTATTGCATTGTCTGCCTACCTTTAAGTCATCTGAAATAACACCAAATCTTACCAAATCCACCCATCTTATGACCCATTCTATGACTCTCACCCTTTCTATGAACCCCACCCAAGAGATGAGAATCAGTGAACAGCTTTTCATCACCAATGGGGCGGCAACAATGACTGAGCACCATTCAGCCTATCTAGTCTGCCTAATTTTCTAAATATTTTAATTAGACCCTGACCTTATCTTAAGTCTAGGATAGCCTTATGCCTATCCCACGCATGCTTAAACTCCTTCACTGTGTTAATCTCTACCACTTCTCCTCCAAGCTATACATGTTAAGATCCGTTAACCTTTCCTTGTATGTTTTATCCTGCAATCCATGAACCAGTTCTGTGGCCCTTCTCTGAACTCTTTTCAAAGTATCAATATCCTTCTGGAGATACAGTCTCCAGTGCTGCTTACAATACTCCAAGTTAGGTCTCACTAGTGTTCTGTGCAATGGCATAAGCACTTCTCTCTTTCTACTGCTAATGCCTCTACTTATACAACCAAGCATTCTGCTAGCATTTTCTGTTGCTCTATTACATTGTATGCCTACCTTTAAGTCATCTGAAATAATTACTCCTAAATCCCTTTCCTCAGGTGTTGTGGTTAGTAGGGTATAAAATATTCTATACTCTGCCCTTGGATTTTTACACCCAATATGAATTATCTTGCACTTATCCACATTAAATGTCAATTGCAGTTCTGACCATTTTTATAATTTGCCTAAATCATTTGCCATTTGGCTTATCCCTGCTGGAATATAAACCCTGTTGCAAATTGTAGTATCATCAGCAAAAAGACATACCTTATCATTAAGACCTTCTGCAAAAACACTAATAAAAATAATTAAGAGAATGGGTCCAAGTACAGATCCCCGAGGTACCCCACTAGTAACTAGACCATGCTTTGAATATACTCCATTGACATCTACCCTCTGTTGCCTGTCATTCAGTCACTGCCTAACCCATTCAACAATATTGGACTACAAAATTAATAATTGCAGTTTATTGAAGAGCCTTCTATGTAGAACAGTGTCAAAAGCCTTACTAAAATCAAGGTAAGCAATGTCTACTGCACCACCCTCATCTATTATTTTAGTTACCCAATCAAAAAATCAATAAGCTTAGTTTGGCATGATCTCTCTGAAGTAAGCCCATGTTGTCTCTGATCTTGAAATCCATGTGATTTTAGATGTTCAACAATCATATCCTTTAACATGGTTTCCATCACTTTCCCCACTACTGAAGTAAGGCTTACAGTTACCCGACTCCTTCCTACTGGGTACAACATTCGCTAATTTCCTAACTTCTAGGACTACTCCTGTTAACAATGATTGGTTAAATAAATCCATAAAAGGTTTTGCTAGTACACCACTAATAACCTCGGGTGTATCCCATCAGGCCTCACCGACTTATTTATCTTTACTTTTGACAGTTGAAATAGAGCCTCTTCCTTTGTAAACTCAAATGTAACAAATGACTAATTTGTTATTTTTCTTAACTGAAGTCCCTCCTTCATTTTCAGCTGTAAATACTGAACAAAAAAAATATTAATTAAGGGCAGTCAGCTAGACCTTTATCCTCTTCTATATACCTTCCTTCTTTTGTTTTTAATTTAACTAATCCTTGTTTTACTTTTCTTTTCTCATTTATGTATTTGAAAAAAGTTTTATCCCCCTTTTTTACTGACTATGCTATTCTCTCTTCTGTGTGTGCTTTGCAGACTCTTATAACTTGCTTTGCCTCTTTCTGCCTGAACGTATAGATCTGTCTGTCTTCCTCACTCTGGATTTTTTTTATAATTACTTCATGCTAACTTTTAGTCGTTTACTATTTTTTTTTGTCAATCTTTCTTTTATTGAGGCGTAAAGTTGCAAGGATACAGAAAAAAGAAGGGGAGTCGATAAAGATACATAAAGGATGGGGATAATACAGAACAGTATATATAGTCTTTTACTATTTTGGCCACTTTTGCGGAGTACCACAGTGGTTTCTTTATTTTTCTGCTCTTCCTGACAAGCCTAATGAACTTTTTTACTGCTTTCAGTAGTGCAACTTTTAAATAATTCCATTTCTCCTCGACTCCATTAAACTGCTCCAGTCTGATAATGACTCCTTTATGCATATTCTAATTTTAGAAAAGTCTGTTTTTACAAAATCTAAAACTTTTGTTTTTGTGTGGTGTGACTCAGTCGCTTTTCTTATATTAAACCACACTGACTGATGATCACTGGATCCTAAACTTTCACCTACAGTAATATCTGATACCAAATCTCCATTTGTTAACACTAAATCTAGTATGGCTTCCTTACAAATTGGCTCCTCAATGACTTGTTTTAGAGATAATCCCAGTACAAAGTCTAGAATATGTGTGCTCCTGGCACAAGCAGCTATTCTGGTTTTCCAGTTCACATCCAGAAGATTAAAGTCACCCATAATAATAACTGCACCCTTCATATTCATTCTAGCTATTTTCTCAGCTAGTAGATTATCTAACTCTTCTATTTGTCCTGGGGGCATATAAATCACACCTACACGAGTTACTGTGTGATTTCCAAATTCTGACGTAACCCAAACAGACTCTTTGTTCGCCTCACTAACTTTTCTTAGGTTGGATTTTATGCTATCCTTCATATACAGGGATCAAGGATCTTATTCCCTAAACTGCGAGCATTTGTAGATATGACTCTAAGCATATTGTTTTTTAACACACTCGCTACAGTTACTTTTGTACACTCACTCCCCCTCATAGTTTAAATACTTCCTAGCAAAACCTCTGAACTGCTCGCTGGAAACATTTGTTCCCTTTTGAAAAAGATACAAACCATCTTTTTTTGTACGGTTTGTACAAAGCCAAATCCTTGCTCCCCAAACCATTTACCAAGCCACAAGTTAATGTCCCTAATACTCATTCGCCTGTCATTATAAATGTTATGCACAGGCAGAACTTCAGAGAATGACAGTGTGGACACAACCTGCTGTATATAATTTGCAAGAATACAAAACACTTCCTTTACCTCTGAAACCTCATTACAAGCCAAATCATTTGTCCCTAGATGAACAAGTACATCCAATTCCCCTTCCTGCTTTGATCGGTTAAAAATATTACAAATACGTCTCTTGTCTCTGTGAGAAGTAGCTCCAGGTAGACATCTCACAAAGCCCTATTGTCCAACTCCACACCTTGTCCTTTTTGTTATTGGGTCCATTGCAGGAAACTAGAGGAACATCAGTGGGCATTACTGGAGTGCCAATACAATACAATAAAATCCTCCATTGTCTGTTGAGACATCGGATGGGTCTTTAACAGTCATGCATTCCTTTTCCATGTTACCAGATTGTCCAGTAATTGTACTAGTCAGAGATCTGATGGAAAAACTGTCTATTTTCCAGGATATTGGCCATGCATTCTCTTTTCTTTTCAGGTCTTTCACCGACTGCTGCAGACACTCAAGCTGTGCAAGCTAACTGTTAACTTCCCAACACATATTATGTAACAAACTGAATGGCATCCATGGTGATTTATCTCTGTCTCTTCCTATCCTAGATGAGGAACCCACTCAACCTTTCAAGCCAGGAGACAGAGTACTGATCACAAAAGCTGAAGAAGAAAAGGCCAACAGACATTCCCATTGAACCTCCAAGAACAGCAGTTCTGACAGACGAGAGTTCAACATAGATCCACACCTGCAGGATCAAGAAAGCATCCAGAAGCCAGATAAATTACAATTCTTAGCCAAGGATAAACCCTGGCATTGAGGAGAAAACTTTTTTAGGCATTTATATCCTCATGCTTGTGCAATTGCTATCAAAACCATTTTGTTTTGCCTCTTTATGCCTTTACACACTTTTACCAACCACCATGCAATAAGACATACAACAGGCCAGCTTATCATCGTGGGAAATTTACAACAATTTCATATGGGCGGCAAGAATAGGACACTCTTTAAATGCCTAATTGCTAAAGTTTGTTCCCCTAAACCCTACTCTCCCTCCACTACCACCTATTTTTCAATGACACCCAAAGGTGTTACCATCATTTGATCAACAGGAAGCTCACTAAAGTCTGCATGGTCTCCATGGTCATGGTAAACCTCCAATTATCACACCTCTCTAATCCCATTATTTTTATAGCCACTCAATCAGAGATAGCTGTCAAAGATTTGAGGATTTTGCCACAACGTCAATGTCTGCTCTTATGAGATTAACCCACTTACTGGGCAAAAATATTTCATCTGGGGCTCTCTGCAGTACAAGGCTAAATAGGCCCTGATATGATATATATATATATATATATATATATACACTGCCCAAAAAAAAAAAAGGGAACACTTAAACAACACAATGTAACTCGAAGTCAATCACACTTCTGTAAAATCAAACTGTCCACTTAGGAAGCAACACTAAGTGACCATCAATTTCACATGCTGTTGTGCAAATGAGATAGACAACAGGTGGAAATTATAGGCAATTAGCAAGACAACCCCAATAAAGGAGTGGTTCTGCAGGTGGTGACCACAGACCACTTCTCAGTTCCTATGCTTTCTGGTTGATGTTTTGGTCACCTTTGAATGCTTGCGGTAATTTCACTCTAGTGGTAGCATGAGACAGAGTCTACAACCCACACAAGTGGCTCAGGTAGTGCAGCTCATCCAGGATGGCACATCAATGCGAGCTGTGGCAAGAAGGTTTGCTGTGTCTGTCAGCGTAGTGTCCAGAGCATGGAGGTGCTACCAGGAGACAGGCCAGTACATCAGGAGACGTGGAGGAGGCCGTAGGAGGGCAACAACCCAGCAGCAGGACTGCTACCTCTGCCTTTGTGCAAGGAGGAACAGGAGGAGCACTGCCAGAGCCCTGCAAAATGACCTCCAGCAGGCCACAAATGTGCATGTGTCTGCTCAAACAGTCAGAAACAGACTCCATGAGGGTGGTATGAGGGCCTGAATCCAATTGAGCACATCTGGGACATCATGTCTCGCTCCATCCACCAACGTCACGTTGCACCACAGACTGTCCAGGAGTTGGCAGATGCTTTAGTCCAGGTCTGGGAGGAGATACCTCAGGAGACCATCCGCCACCTCATCAGGAGCATGCACAGGCATTGTTGGGAGGTCATACTTAGTCGCCAGATGCGACTAAGGTGTTGGTCCATTCCACTGTCCTTTCTCGCCTTGACTACTGTAATCCACTTCTCTGTGGTCTTACGTGCTCCCAACTTGCGCCGTTACAGTCCATAATGAACGTGGCAGCGAGGCTCATCTTCCTGTCCGCCCGCACCTCCCATGCCTTACCCTTCTATCAGTCCCTACATTGACTTCCTATAAAATATAGAGCTCAATTTAAAATTCTGGTTCTTGCTTTCAAATCTCTACATAATGCTGCTCCCACCTATCTATCCTCCCTTATACACAAGTATGTCCCGTCTAGGCACTTACGATCTGCTGAAGACTTACATCTATCTTCCGTCCGTACTCCCACCTCTGATGCTCGCCTTTAAGATTTCTCGAGGGCTGCACCGTTCCTGTGGAATTCACTTCCCTCCTACCAAAACAACTTTAGCTTAACCACTTGGTGATTATTTCCAAGTTTTGTGACTAATGCCATATTTTGCATTTTTGCTATATGGTCATTCCATGGTAAATTTATGTTTTCTAAATAGGTATCCCCATACTTATTAGATATACATATATTTTATTAAGACATGGCTTTTTTTGTATTCTCTATATGTACTTAAGACAACTTTATTTAAGGAAAAAATATTTTTTTTAAAATAAAATTTAAGAAATTTCTTTATTTAACCTAACGTTTTTTAACCTAATAATTTCTATACAACTAGTGCAACTTATTAGTCCTGATTGTGAAAATGTCTAGGATTTCAATAATTGTGGTTTTAAAACTAAACTTTACCCAAATTAGACACTTTAATAGCACTTGCAGAATCTAAAATCGCTACACAAAACAAAATATTTGTAGAATGCAGACTGATCAGGGTATTTGACTATCAGTAGATTGATAGGTATAATTTAATAATTCTGTCACCAAACCAGCCCAAACAGCTGGGTATATTTATATTTTTTTGTGATTTTCCTAAAGATGTCATTTTCAGGGTTAATGTCACACATCATTTATGTCCAATGACTGTTAATACCCCTGAATTAAATTTTGCTACTGCTGCAGAGTACAGTAATAGCACATATGTATATCCTTCACCAGTTTGGGAGCAGTCTATAGGGTCACATTCGAGATATGCAATAATTTTGACATGCCTCTTTACTTACTTCCCTAATACTCTATTTGTCACCAAACTAACAGCATCACAAATTAAGATTATTTCTGACTTTTCCTTAACCCTATTTGTAGCCCTAGTCCTAACCCTAATTATAACCCTAGCCCTAGCTCTAACCCTGACCTTAATGCCAAACGAAACCCTGACATAACTGTGCACTTTATTAGATTGACCCCCAGATTGATTGATCAACCTCGAAGCCAATCACAGTAATGACATGCAGTAACTGACAGCCTAGTTAGCCTGTGAGCCATTTGCCAATTGTCAGCTGATTCCAGCATGCACTCTGGTAGCCAGGGATCAGATGTCAATTATGAGAAAGGAAAGCTATGAAAGGCTGTTGCAGAGGTCCTGTGGCTCTGACAGCATCTTCAGGGTGTTACTGGACAGCCTCAGAAATGGGACTGTCCAGTAACTGCATGTACATTCGGCAGTTACTGAGATTGCAGCATGTGAAATGTGTTATTGAGGTCCTGCAGCTGCCTTGAGGTTGATAAGCATGGTGGTCACGGGACAAGCTGCCCCAGCAATGGCTCACCTTGTGGGACCTCCATACAGCAATTTCCGTGATGCCTCAGTAGTGAAGCATCCCAAAATATCAAATTGCCGCGATTGCAGTGATATGAGTCAGTTATGCCATGACATGTATCAAACATCATCAGTCATCAATGCATATCTGACTGATAACATATGAGACACTCCATCAGTGTTTACTAGGCTTTGGTGTATAGAGCATGCCCCCACAGTCTCACTGCTCAGTTCTCTGCCATTTACTTTGTTTATGCAGGAAAGAAAATAGCATTATGGACAAACCTAAGATTTTGGTCCAAAATACTTAAACTCCATTCTATAAAATGTGGGACTTCTGGTTGGAATGGCAAAATGTCTTAAACTATAGTACTGCTATTTATGTAAGAGCTCTGTGGAGAAGTACATACTGTATGCAATATTTATCTGATATGGTTTTTACCTATTTATTTATTTATTTTAAATTGGCATCTAACATGAAGACAATAATTGCTCTAAACAGGGCCGTCTTTAAGGAGGGGCAAACGGGGCAGCTGCCCTGGGCCCAGTTACTCATGGGGGGCCCAAAGCAGCTGCCCCGTGGGCCCCGTTGTCTGCAATAAAAATTTATTTTTTTAAAATATTTCCCTACCTAATGGGCCCGCGGTGCTAGTATTGCGGCTGCACCGGGGCCCGCACACTAAGGGGTCCCCCCGGGTGGCCCATACCTTTAGGGCCACCCAGTGAGCATGTTCCAGCAGGGGTCCGGTCGGCACTGTGGCCCTTTAACAGCGCGACCGGGTCCTTGCTTAACGGCTGCATGGGAGGAAGTGACGTCCGCGAATCACTTCCTCCCACCTCAAAGATATCGGGCCGCGCGGGAGGCTGCTGAGCCAGCATCCAGTGAGGAAGGGGAGCAAGAAGAGCCAGACCTCCAACTCCCAACTACCCCAGCCAGCACACTGGACCCCAGGGAAGGAAGCCTCTTTCAAAGGTAGGAAACTGAAGAGTGTCTGTCTGTGTGTGTGTCAGTTTGTATGTATGTGTGTGTGTCAGTATGTCTGTGTGAGTGTCAGTATGTATGTGTCAGTCAGTATATGTCTGTGTGTCAGTTTGTATGTCTGTGTGTCAGTTTGTATGTCTGTGTGTGTGTCAGTATGTATGTCTGTGTGTATGTCAGTATGTCTGTGTGTGTCAGTTTGTGTGTCTGTATGTATGTCGGTGTGCCAGTCAGTATGTCTGTGTATGTGTCAGTATGTATGTCTGTCACAGTGTCAGTATGTCTGTCACACTGTCTGTGTGTGTGTGTGCATCAGTGTGTATCTGTATGTTGTCAGTATGTATGTATCCGTGTGTGTGTGCCAGTGTGTATACCTGTGCATGTATCTGTATGTAGCCAATGTGTGTATCTGCATGTGTGTCAGTGTTTGTATCTGCATTTGTCAGGTTATGGATCTGTGTGTCTGTATGTTGTCATTGTGTGTGTCTGTGTATCTGTATGTTGTCAGTGTATCTGCGTGTGTGTGCGTGTGTGCATCTGTGTGTCTGCATGTGTGCCAGGTTGTGTGTCTGTATGTGTGTGTGTCAGTGTGTGTAAATGTGTCTGTATAGCTGCATCTGTATGATTGTGTATATCTGTGTATCTGCAAGTGTTTCTGTGTGTGTATGTGTATCACAGTGTGTGTGTGTGTGTGTGTGTGTTTGTGACAGTGCATATGTATTTGTGCATACATCTCAGCATTCAACACTACACGCAAATACACACCTGCATTCAAACTTCAACACTACATATAAACACACCTCTTTTTTTAAACAACAAAATTATATATAAACACACCAGTGTATTCATAAACCAATACTACACATAAATGCATACTTGCATTTAAATGCCATCTCCACATACAAACACACCCTACATTCACACAAACATACTCCATACAAAAACTAAGAATGCAGCTTCACAATGAATGTAAAATGGATGCTGTCCAGGAGGTGGGAGGGTCTGGGAGGAAGGGTCTGCTGCTGATTGGCTGGAATGTGTCTGCTGACTGTGAGGTACAGGGTCAAAGTTAACCGCATATGTTCGCCATCCGAGGCGAACCTTTCTGCGAACAGTTCGGGACATCACTATTAGTGACACATAACAAAAGAAGAACATGCTTTAGCAGTATATTGGGTGAAACCAAAATGTCTGCATTTAACTGGTTACATCCCAGAACAGCTGTAGAGTACACACAAGTACAATCTAGACCTGCAATATTTAGTCTTGTTAGATATACAGAAAAAGAGTGTATAATATCAATGATAACAAATTAAGGATAAGGATGGT